TAGATATATATATATATATGTAGACACGTGTATCCCCACTAAACCCCATTCAGTTGGACACGGTTTCCTTTCTGCACGCTCCTTGCTTACCAAACTAATTTTCTTCACTGCTAGTCCTATTAATCGTTGGGCACAAAACTGGTACCGCTCTTTGCTGCTTACTGGAACACGATTTGAAGTTCCTTGCTGGCTCCTTACTTTTGTTCTAAATGAACCTCCAAGGTATGCACCCGTGGCTTACTCCCGTCCCGTCTACATGTCCTCATGGGTCGGTGCTGGGTCCAAAAACTGTTCACCATATTTATCAACCTGCTCTGTGCCGTCATCTCACCCGAGTGTAAAACTCGTTTCAGTTCAGTTTGTCAGCTGTAAATCACTTACCAAGGGTGCGCTGGCAAATACTTGTTTATCACAAGGACCTAAGGGGCGGTGATCTTCCTGCCTTACATAAGGCCATCGATTTTCTTGCTTCCTGAGCCACAAGTAACTCTGCGCTTCCCCCAACCCATCCAAATATCCATCCGGAATCCACGTCTGTCTTCTCTTACTTGTGGAGAATGACGCTGTCCCCATCCTTATGCCTAACTAACGCAAGGACTTTAGAATTTAGCTTAACGCAACCGTTCCCTTTCTTCTTCAACCTTTCAAGAAGCGATCACATTGGTGAACTTCCCGTGAAAGTTCCCTCTTTCTCTTCCAGTTAGAAATTACTGTGCTTTATTCCACATTTGCTGACCCTTGGAGGGAATATCACAGTGTTTGGTGACTGTTCAGCCTGAAATGCAGAAATTAAGATCACAAGATCAGGTTGTCCATATAAGACCTGCCAACCCCGTTGAGAGCCACTGGACCCACTGAACCACAGACATAATTTACACTTTTTCTCACGGTAGTCCTCAGATATCTTTAATCCTGTTTTATCACTTTCCAGGTCATTCACAGTAGCGCCTCCTGGTTGACGGGACACAGTAATATGTGCCTCACCTGATATACCAGAACGATCTACCGATGGAGCCATCTTCCACCACTGAGGAGCTGTCTGGCTCATCAACTGCTGACAAACCAGTGTCAACTAGCTCCCGACCAACCACGCTCAACATTCCCGTGGAAAACCCGAGTCCATTACTATCCTCTTTCCGGACACCCTCACTGAATGATTTGCAACCCATACTTCGATCAGAAGTGGAAAAACTATTGCAGCAATGGAAGACGTCCTCTCCACAAACGCCCAATAGTTTTCTGAATCCGAAACATGTCACTGAAGAACAAGAATGCTTTGCCAAGTATGTCTCGATGCGTTTGATTTGTTTGCATATCTGCTCAGGCTTTTAATATTTCAGCTGGACGTACATTGCCCATCTAACTTAGCGTAACTATACCAACAAAATCAAGTCTTCCGACTGTGGTACTTCTCGGTTTTGTGGCTCTCATCCAACCCGAAGAATATGTGGACACTGAGATACTTTCAGTTTGCCCCACCCCTATGCGGTCGGAACCAGGGATGTGTTCGGTCCGTGAAGTGCTTAATCGGTAGTCGGTGTCTTCTCTCAAAATCCCTACTACAGGTTTCTTGAATACGACTCGCCGTATCCAAACAGTCGTGGAATGTTTTGTCTCCTGTAATTTGCAGCACAGATGACAAAACACTGATATGGGGTCAGTTTATTTTGACTAAGTTGTTCAGCAAGTGAATGTTTTGAGTGAGGCAATCTTATGACCCCAGAAAGAAAGAAAAGAAAAGAAAGCGTTCAGCTGTAGCGCCCTTCCAGTGCCTAGCTGCCATGCCACCCGAAGAAAGCACGAAGGCTGGGATACTGCCAGGTTGCCCAAGCCTAGACAGGGGAAGTCGACTGGCGGAGGTCGGATTCGAACCACGGACCTTCCGGTCAGTAGATTCGCGCTCTAACCACTTGGGCCATCTCGCCCCCTGTCTAGGCTTGGGCAACCTGGCGGTATCCCAGCCCTCGTGCTTCCTTCGGGTAGCATGGCAGCTAGACACTGGAAGTATTTTGTCGTGCGACTCCCTTGAATCCCTTGTTTATGGTATTCTTTGACCGAGTGTGCTTCACAGGGACCCTGAAAAGGACGGAAATTGTAGTATACTGATTACTTTTCAGTGCAACAGCTCTAGGCAAGTTGAAACGTCCATCACACACTCATAAAAGCTCTAAGGTATTTGGATGCGTCTAAAATTGTATTTCCCCGATGCATAAAGGGCGCGAAACTGGTCTGATTTCCACCCTCTATCCCCGCCCTTTGGAAATATCGCCCGTCAACGATGCATTACAATGGTTCGTGAGATTGTGTGGTACTTGTCGCTTTTTGAATTGTTTCGCACCGTATCGTGCATTCACGAATTTCCTTGGGCTTGTTTTCTTGTTTCTTTCGTTTCCGTCCGTCACAAAGCACTACATTCAAAGACCAAACTGCTTTTGGATTTTTCTTTCAGTGCTTTTACTCAAAAACTGAATGAGCTGCAGGACAGCGGGTGTCTTGCGTCAATAACCGCTGCAATGAGCCCGACAGTGATCAACCCAAACAGTCTGTACAACGTCTCCCTACCCGATATGTCTTCACCAAATTTGTCGAATTTCGCTGACTTATGCCGACAAGCCGTCCAACAGCAAGCAGATTTATCGACTCCTCCTATTCTTCTGTACTCGCCCACCGCCCTACAATCTCATCCATTGACGGCATCTCAGGTCAAGTCATCACTGGTCACCACCTCACAACAGTCTTCGTCATTCGATTTACAGAAGTGTGCTAATGACCTAACAAATCTGCAAAATCAGCTTCAAGGCGCCGTCTCAATTACACTACCTGTGTCTGCACTATCTGGAGCATCTAAAGAGTTGGCAGCGTTACAGCTGGCCAACCGCTTCAAATTCGAAATTACCACGAATGGCGAGGTGTCCCAGGCCTCTGTTCTCAAGATGCTCGGCTTAGATGCGTCTTCGAGCGAAGTTAGTGGTACTGTATGTTCAACGGCAACGCAGCCAACTGTGGATTCCTTATTGTGGCCCTTACGGGTGCAAACCTCTGGAGCCAGTGAAACCGCACAGGCAGAAGGACAACACAATAGCTTTCTCACCTCACCACGTGATGATCTCGATACCAGACCTTCCTCTGTGACCAACAGCGTTGATCAGGCTGAAATTGGTCGATCTTTGAGATCTCCGTCATCGGTTTCTTCCAATTCGTCGACCTCTCATCAAAACGGTGCAGATCCACCTGTCGGGCAAGGTACTCGTTTGGATCCTACGGAACAATATCGGATGCGTCTCGAACGAAAACGAGCTAGGAACAGAGATGCCGCACGAAAGTGTCGAGAACGTAAAATTCGCTTGATAAAAAGTTTAGAGAAAGATGTATATCACCTCTCCGAGGAGAACAAAGCTTTGCGCAATCGCGTTTCTCGAAGCCGGAACGAAGTTGACCGTTTGAAATCGTTCGTAGTAAATCACCTAGAGAAAGAATGCCCGGCAATTGCCGGTAGGGTTGTCTGAGCAACATTTTTCACCATACCTATTTGACAGCACAGGGACACACATAGTTATCCTTCCACCTGTGATCAACGTACTTTTGTTGCGCAATGCACCTTATTCATACCTACCCTTGGTTGCTGTCTTTTGACTTATCATTAACCTTGTTATTTATGAGTTTCCTTGTTTCATTCTCCTATTAGTGTCTTTGTGTTTATGTTCGCCTACCTCACCGTCATCGTCATTATCGATATTCTGACTATCCTCTGTTTATCTCACGGAACCCGATATTCTGATCCAGATTCGTAGTGTGCATGCAGTGAGAAAAATGCATTTTTATTGTCTAGTTAAGCCAACGGTTTTGTCGTAATCAAGTCCGTCGTCACTTGAAATTCTGGTAAAAACACTGCTTCTATAATAAACACGCTTTTATCAGGTGTTGTTTTGCCCTCACACAAGTAGCTTGTGGGCATTTTTAACGGAGGCCCTTTCCTCTGAAGCGGTGGACACAAGTCGTATTGAACTTTCGGTATAATGACTGTAAGAAGACTCTTCTACGGTGGCCATTTCAGAGCTTTCTTCTGTGGAATGGTGCTGCCGAAGAGTCTATATTCTCACCAGGGTAGTTCCGTTTTCATTGACATGCTGTATATCTAGGTGCCGTTTCTGTTGTAAATGGTTGACAAATCGGATTCTGTTTCCCTCGCAATATGGCTTTTCTTTTTTTGGCCTTTATGTGGATTTGGATGGTAGCCGCAAGTCTGCAATCGGATTTTGGAACAATGTTACTGGCGGTTAGTCTGTGGTAACACCACAGCAAAACAAACATTGACCTTGACAATGCATGTCCCTTAGAGCTCAAATCAACTGTTTGCCGATAACCAAGATCGCCAACTGGGCATGCCTCCTACCAGTTCTGGTAGATTATTCACGTGGATAAGGCTAGCCGTATTAATGGGGTTTATTAATTATGCATAAACTTGTTAGTTGGACCGGATCTTTGTAACAGGACAACCTTCTGCCACTCCGAACTTATTAAGGTGGCACAGTAATCATGACATTACTGAGCTACTCTTCTGCCTGTCGCAGGCAAGTATTTGTGACAGGACTGTGCGTGACGAACTTGTCCTATTCGCTCTTGCAGTTGCACGTCAAGCTTCCAGGAGGAATCAGCAGAGCCGTTTGTAATGTGGTGTGATGTGGTTGGGTTTAATCTGTCGACAGCTAAAGTGAGCTGATGAACACTGAAATCAAACCAAGCTATGAACTGAAGATACCATTTTTGTGTGGGTGGTCCAGCCCGAGTCCCACTTATGTTGTTTTTTAAGACATACCTCAGTGACTGTACATCCTCAGATCTAGTGGAACTGTGATGCGAGGATAGTCAGCTTCCAGTGAGTCAACTTTTTGGGTGAGTACCTGACTTTATTGGAGTAGGATCGCTCATAATATTGTCAGGAATTTTGCCTTCATGATGTTTGAATCAGGAGAACCATCTTTTAGTGTGTGGTTGACTTTTTATTGCCGTATGTGGCTGCCTCACAGAAACCTAACTTATCACGCTGCATTCAGCTCCAAACCGATTCGAGGCAGATCGGCCAAAGGCTAATGATGTTCGGTGTGGGGGGAGATGGCTTAGTGGTTAGAGCGCGAATTTACTGACAGGAAGGTCCGTGGTTCGAACCCGACCTCTGCCTCTCGACTACCCCTGTCTAGGCTTGGGCAACCTGACAGTATCCCAGCCCTCGTGCTTCCTTCGGGTGGCGTGGCAGCTAGGTACCGGAAGGATGCTATCGCTGAACGATTTATTTATTTATAGTCATATTCGGAATTCCACTCGAGGAGTCCGTCAAGCTTCTTTTAGTTCCGACCGTATTCAAGCCATGACGAGATTCCTACTACCTGAACTCCAGGCAGTGAACGGCCGAATTTCAACAGTCAAACGGTCAACACATTCCGGCACTTACGTGTCTCGCAGACGGTAAGATCACTGCACTCCCAGTCTCCCGGATCACTATTTCCTCAAGTTTTCTGAGGACCTGTGTGACCTGGCACTTGGATTTGATCAAACGATCCGCGCAACTAGAATAGGGGATCGTGAGTGTAGCAAACGTATAATGACCGATTCTCTCGGAGCTGCTCGACTGTGAACAAGCAAGAAACACTTGCTTTAGTTGGGATGGGGTACTCAATGATAATCCAGGTGAGTGCAGTTGGTGGGGCTTCGTTCAGCCGGAGACGAACAGAAAACGAAGAAGGCAGGAATCCCGCGGGTGGGAGTTTTATAACAAATTGGTTGATCGCAGCGAAAAAAAGCTACGCAGCCAATTGACGTGCCTCATGATACGATTATCTGAAGCAGGGCGGCTTTACATGACCCTATTAGTGCACAGGTGGTGTATGCACTAATAAAAGTCTTCACTGTGGTTGACAGTAGTTTACAGAAGCGATTTGCAGCATGTATAAAATATCGGGCAATATAAAATGTGGAGCAAGTCAAAAAGGGACTTATCGCATGTGAGAGTCCCTTGGTAAAAGTCCGGACGGCGGGAACGTGTTTTTCTCCGCAGTGCGACTGCTACACGTATTTCATGGTTGTCCGTGGACTTCGAGTGTTTGGCCGACTCCTTGCTCCCTGTGCGCGCGCGAGACCGTGTGTGTTGACTGCGTTCGGTTTCCCTATATGTAGGTCCGATTGTGCGTACGTGGGCGCGTCAGCTCATGAGTGGTTGCTACGCTCACTAGACGGTGCAGACAATCGACTTCTGATGAGTCACCTTAATGTGACGTGGTTGTGGGCATGAGAAAAAGACAAGTCTCGTGATCCAGTGAGTGACTGTGAGCTGCACAGTCAAGTGTGTGTGGGTGACTGGGTCGCTGCAACCCCAAACCAATGGAAGACAACGGAACTGATTTCACGGAATATGATGAGGCTTCAAGCAGAAACGGCTTTGCGCCGTGCATCTTCAAACGCATTACATATAAGGAATGTACAGGAACGATCTGGAGAATCTACTGGCAAAACCGTTGTAAGAAAATGGAGTCTCATAAACTTGAGTGCACAGGAAAATACAAGGCTTAAGTGAAGCCATTTCATACCTGTATCATGGTATTCCCTGCATTATGTGCAGAGGTTGATAAATTATTTGGAAACCAATGCTAGCGGGAGAGCACTGCTATAATTGCGGACGATTCCAACGTCAGCGAGGGGAATAGAAGTAGCCGGACTGGATTACATCACTGTTTGGACAATCAGTGTGAACCATAGCATTACTCTCGTTCGAACGGGCCTCTTGCTGTTCTGCCGTCATAAAGAGACTGGACCTTACCGTGTTCCAACGTCAGGGGAATAGAAGTAGCCGGACTGGATTACATCACTGTTTGGACAATCAGTGTGAACCATAGCATTACTCTCGTTCGAACGAACGGCTTGCTGTTCTGCCGTCATAAAGAGACTGGACCTTACCGTGGTGTGACGGTTTGCGCACCTCAGCGATCCATTGAGCTATACTGGAGAGTGTCCCGCGACACTCACAGAGTCTCTCATACCAGGTTGGTCAATGGTTAGAGGTATGACGAACACAGTCTCCTGGCCCTCCAAGTTGGGGGTTGGAACATGTGGCGACTTGTTCCGTAGAAACGGTAATGCATTTGCATTTCCC